GCATCAGAAAGGATGGGCGCATGTTAGCCTCACGAGAAAAGAATCTGATGCGGTCACAGTGCCCAGTCTTAATCGGAGCACCTCGATTCTTTACTCAATTCGCAAGGATCGCGAGGAGCTGAAGACCCGAAGTAGATAATTTACACCATCCCAGCCACATCCCTTGCATGAGGGAGTTTACCATGTTAGCCCCCCATGGGAAAATACTCACGAGAAGCACAGACGAGGGACGGGTCAGCTGACCATCTCCGGTCATCGGAGCAGGGCATTGCACTTGCCTGCCCTCCCTCCGCGGCCACTGTATCGGCTACTAGTAACTCACGAGGCAGCCCTCGAGACTGCGGTATGAACCATCGCAGCCCCTCGCGCTGCGCTGCTGGTCGCACAAGGCAATATAATCTACCGTGCGGTCAACTAAACAGGCCATTATCGGACGGGCTCCTCCATTGCATGAGTGGATTTGACATGTTACACAGAGAGGGCACAGTAAATGCAATCACGAGAACGTAAGACCAGAAGAGTCTTGCTGAAGAAGACGACCTTCGCAGGCGAAGGGGATGGGGATGGGGATGTTGCGAGGACCGGTTCTCAGGAGCACAGGGGTCCTCCCTTGCCTGGGCAGACTGGCCATGTTATCCACCCCGAGAGAACAGTCGAGAGCGCTCACGAGAGAGATAGAGTGGGGTGGGATGTTATCCCGAGCGTTTAGGGTGATTAGAGGATAATGCTGGGTTAAGCAGGGGTTAAGCAGGCGATTAGCGGAAAGCCGTGCTGTAGTAGGCTGCTACTTCTGGTTTACGAAATGGCAACGGGATGGGCGTGCATGACGGGATAAGGGAGGGCCAGACTGGGGGGGCCTGGACAGCTCCAGCAGGGAACTTAGAAGAGACTCCGCCTCCGAGGCCTCCTCGTGGAGGCACAGATGACCGTCAGATCCGAATCGGACGGCTCGTTTGGGGGGCCGGTGACTCCCTCGGTACATGCTTCTCGCCCTGCTCCTTATCCAAGTTTCTCTTCCGCACGCCGCACGCCATTATGACACGTGCTACGCGTGATCCACACCGATCTCTGCTTGAAATCCTTTAATTTAGTTGCAGTGCCAAATTGGTGCACTTAAGTTACAGTGTCCTACACATTCAAGTGAAACCTGCTAGCAACAGGTTAGTTACTTGTTGTGCTCGGTACGGGCAGCCTTCCGTAAGTTTATTGCTGACTCTATCTGCGTCTTGTTCATAACTCAGAGAGTCAGCGTCCTTATCTCCACACGAGTCTATGCCTCGAGCTAAATCGAGCTTATATAAAAAAGATTTATTTTGTCTTTTTTTTCCAAGCTTTTTCTGCCCCTTTTTTTCCAGGATTCTTTTCCTCCATGAAATGTTTTCACCACTCCCGGGTACTTTATAATGAAGTTGATCCCCTTCATGAAGGAATTCCATATTCACCCCGGTATTGGTGAAGTTTCTGAAGGAATTGGACGGACAGAAAAGTGAACTGCAACGTGCTGTAATAAATGACTGAATGATTGAGTAGTGAGTACTGACTTCTGAGCCCTGTAGTTGACATGTTCCTTCTGTATCTGCATGATTCACTACTCGTACTACGTAGAAGGAACACTGTGCACCGAGAAAGTATACATGTGGATACCTTCGGTCCTCCATATTTGCTTTCCGTATGCATGAGCGACCTTCGGCCGAACAGTTCGCAGTCTATCAAAGAAAGCATGAAAAGCTATTCTTTGTTCTGTGTATAATCTCGCATGTTATGAGCCACCATCAATATCTTTTCTGAGAGAATGAAAAACGAATCACATGGTTCATTAAATCATCGGAACATTTGCTTCCAGCTTCAAACTCTGTGAACTGTGAACTGTGAAACACAATATTCGTGGGGGGAAATTTTTTCCAACAGCTGCTGTATCATCAAAGATTTTCGGGGAGCTCTGTTGTCATGGATCAGATCCATCCGGACCTTGAGAACGGTAAAGAGCTTTCCGCACAACCAACACACGGAAATCGACGAAACGAATCAAGTTCAGGAAACGAACTGAGCGGACAGGAATGGAATTCACAACGTGCTCGGTAATCATCGGTGCGATCGGGAGATATTTCGGATCGCAAACATTGTAGAGTAGAGTAGAGTAGAGTAGAGAAGAGAAAACAGTATAATGCGGTTAAGAGTATGGGAAGTATAATACGGCTATTTTATTGCGAAGCTTTCCTTTCCATGTGAAGGCCTACTTTCACTATAGCCTTTTCCTGGCTCACTTTAGGCTTTAGATCCAATACGTGGCATTTCCGAGCATTGATCACGAGACTTTGTAAAAGTTTGGAATCTCTCCGGCTCATGAAGATCTTTAACTCGCACTACATACATCGCAGTGTACAGGAGATGATTTCCTTCCGTCTGAATGGGACGACGAGGTCGTCGTTCTACATATGGAAGCGTACCTCCGGCCGTATTCCCCACAGTGGCTAAATTGGTCACTCGAGCGCGGAACTAGAACCTCCACGAGTTGGAGCCCGGGGTTAGACCAACTAGCGGTTAAGGGGGCGGTAACCAGGGGGTCAGGTAGGAAAATGGGGAAGGGAATGGTGGTCCCGAAAGAAGTGTAACTGAATATAACTGTCAAAACGGGATATGTGACAGACGAGAGGGGCGAGACCGGGGGGAGAGTGTCCGAAAGGAGTAGCAGGTGCATACACGTCGTCGGGGTCCACAATACCACGTGTCAGGAAGAAGGGAATCAATGGATGCGAATGGTGGGTCAGGGCTTACACGTGTGAAACCTCTGACGGCTTGCCCAACTTCCTGGCCAGTGACGGGAATGATAAACATCTTCCGTGATCGGGTCATGGACTGCGCCACGTGGACCGGGGGAGTCTATCTTCGCGACGTCCCGCGGCATCCCGCCGGGGGGAGGAGACTCGCCGGGACGCGCCGCGGTCGGGAAGCCTCGGTGAGAATCCTGTCGGCGCGAGGGGCCGGGAAAGTTCACGGTGACGGCGGTTACCGGGCTAGGCCACGGGCAGCCCCCGCTGACCGGTCACCGCCGGTGGGTCCCCTCGGAGGGACACGCGTCGAACGCAGAGTCAATCGAGCACGTGAAAGGATCCATGTGAAACAGGCTGATTTTTCCGGGTAGCGGCCGGGCAGCCGGGCAGCGCCGCAAATTATGGCTGCCCCCTGACTCAAAAGGCCTGTGTCCCCCCCGAGAGCAGTCAGCGTTCCCCACTGTCCTCCTTGGCCCTCTTACGTACTGTCGTCTCGCACTCACTCATTCACTCGCTCACTCCTCCCAGTCACTTGCGCATGCGCTCCCTCCCTCTCCCAGGGAGCCTCCGCAGCACTCAGCGCCAGCAGCCAGTGCGAGCCCAAATGAATTTCTTTCCGACTCCATCTTTCCCGAAATTCTGCGTCTTCTCGCGTCTGCGCTTGAGCAGGCGTCAGGCCGAGCAATTTTGACGAAGTATGAGAGTGGTTGGACGAGTTGCCCAGAAAGTTACGCTAGACTCGTAGGCCAGTAGAGTAAACCAGCCGAGTGTGCCTTGCCTTGAGATGAAAATAGTAGCCCCGTGAATAGGACGACCGACCCTGAGAGCTGGGAAGACGAGAGCCGGATCCTACTTCTAGCAGGCCCAGGTGCGAGAAAGCGAGAAAGCGGAACAGGACTCTTCTGGTACTGGGCTCTCTCTGGAAGACTGGAAAGCAAAGAGCGAGCGAGCGAGAGAGAAGGCAGCCGGCAATAATAGCAGTAGCAGCAGCAGCAGGTCGAGAAGGTGTTTGAGGAAAAGTGGAAAAAGTCGAGTGGGTGTAATCTAGCGAGGGAGCAGCAGTAATCAGCTGTTACGATTTTTTTTCCCTGGGTTTACCTCCAGACCTGCTCTCTTCCCTCCATCCCTCCCTCCCTCCCTCGTTCACCGGCCACCCCCCCTCCCCCCACCCCCTCCCCCTCCCTCCTTGCCCTGCGCTTTGTTCAGAGCGCTCGCTACCTACAAAGGCGGATCTCCGGGTTACAACCGTCTTTCTTATTCCACACTCTCCACAGTCTCCTCTCTCTCCCCCCTCCCCTTCCTCTGCACGTTGCGGACTCCTCTCTCTCTCTCTCCCTCTCTCCCTCTCTCTCTCTCTCTCCCCTGACCTCTCTCTCTGGGCGTGGCAAGAAGCTTGACGATTTTGGATCGAGCAACGGCGTCACTACTTCTCGAATCGCATTTTATTTTGAGAAGCGAGTGAGACCCGACCACTATTTCCTCATATACCAAGAAATTGTACGAGGTTTTAGACGGAGGACGATATATCTTAATCTCCTCCGCGTACTTCTACGTAAAGTCGGAAGATAAGACGAGTGCGGAAAGAGAGCAAAATCGATCATCAATCTCTTTCTGCCGTCAACGTCAACACCAACATCAACATCAAGCAGCAGCCGAGGGCGAGCAAGTTGCGCCCGGCGCTCGCACTCGGTTCCGAGGGTCTGCCTCACAGGTCATCTTCGATTCCCCTGTGAATCTATAGCGCTCTCTGTACGATCAAGCAGCGTCGATGTCCGTCGACAACACCACCGTCTGACCGCGTCCTGCAAAGCTCCTGGTTGGACAATCGACGGCGCGAACACCAGCACCGTGTGTCATCAGCAGCAGTATTCAGCTCACTTCGCACAGCAGCAACAGCAGCATTTGAAGGCGTCGAGCGCTGAAGAGCAACGAAGCGAACTCAGAACTCAACCTCTTTCGAATCCACTCTGTCCTCAGTCCTCCCTCCCCTCGGTGCCCAGATCGGTTGCAGTTGTGGTGTTTTTTTCCTGCCACATTGCCTTCCCGCACTGAACTCAACCTCTCCGAACCGAACCGAGCTAGTAGTCATCCTCATTTCCTTGCTTTGAAATTGAGTGTCTGTCTGTCTGTCTGCCAGAGATTGGGATTTCAGTTTGAGTGAGTGAGTTTTCTCGTCAGGGCTGGTTGGGTTGGGGTGTCTCAGGTCTCGGGTGGGTGGTGGAAATTTAGTATAGAGAGAGAGAAAGAGAGAGAGAGAGAGAGAGCGCGGAGGGGCCCTATTTATAAACCCCCTTCGTAGACTCGCATCCTAGCACGAGTTTTTCAGTGCACATGTTCAAGCTTTCTTCCTCTCCCACCTCGGTCGATCGTTTTTCTCAGTTAGTCCAGTCGTTCCGGAACTTTGCTCCTTGTGGTGTCGTCAGAAGAGTGAGAGTGAGTTGAGTGGTTGGTTGGTTGGGTTGGTTGGTGTCTGGCGTGTCTAGATTGAACGAGAGCAGCAGAACAAGAGAGGGTCTTTTTTATCCCCCCTCTCCACAACGCACTGCACCTTTTTCTCATGTGCAGACTGCAAGATGATGTCGTCTGCCTTCTTGTTAGAGTTCTTTCGGTAACAGAGCAGCTGAAGTCTTTTTCCGTACTTCGGTCCTTCTCAACCCTGCCCGACTCCTAGCAACTAATCAGAGCTTTGCTGTCTCCCCCCTCCCCTCCCCTTCCCTCCTGCTCAGACATTGATTGATCCCTCCTCTCTTCTCCGACTCTCCAATTGTGTTCTCTGCAGTGGCATTTAGATCCAAGCCCTCTTCCCGTCCCGACCCCCCCGACCTTCTGAGACCCGTGGGTTCTGAGTTTGTGCCTTCTCTTCGCCGCCGACCCTTCGAATCAATCATTCATCAATTCGCGGAGGAGTTTTTTGCTGTTCGTTGAGACACTCGCTTCTCACAAATATCAAATCGGTGCTGCGTTCGCCAAGCGCGCTACAAATCGCAGGAAACTTTTTTTGTTCCTGACGATACGTTCAGAAAGCTCATATATATTTTGTTACTACTCTGCCCCCAGAGAGAGAGGGAGAGAGAAAGAGATTCCTAAAGAGAGAGAGAGAGAGAGAGAGAGAGAGAGAATCCGAGAGGAAGTGAGGTAGAGAAAAAGGAGTGATAGGGAGGAAGTTGAATATGATGGAACAGAAGTGCGAGAGCATAGATTTCAGCATGGAGCAGTCGCTCAGGCACAGTGAGTACTTCATGTCGGCAGCTGCATCAGCTAAGATTAAGATGCAGCACGACAGTCATCACCACCATCACAATATGATGGATCTGCCGAGCTCGACGTCGGCAACATACTCAGGCATGCTCAGAATGCCAGAGCTGTACCCGGATCACAATGCATTGGCATTGGCTCGATTGAAACTCCCGGGTCCCGAAAGCCCCGAGTCCACTTCCAGCTCCGCCTCATCTTCCTACGGTGAAGGTGCAGGAGGCGTCGAGCAACCCACCAAGGAAGGGGCCGAGGCCAGGCTGCAAAGCGGTGCGGCGATGGTCGAGAGTTTTGGTAGTGCATGTGCCAGTACCACAGACTTCCACCTCAACCTCGCATCGCAATTTTTCTCCATCGCCAACCACTTGCAAGGTCCGTCGAGTTCCTCCGTCGGACCCAGCGTGAGCAGCAGCACCGCTGCCCAACCGATGTATGCCGACCTGCTTCCATCTTTTGCTGGCAGTGCGAGCATTCTGCCCTGGAATCACCAGCAGCCATCGGTTGCACAGGGAGGGAGCTTTTCTAATCTCTCCACTGTCACCGGCTCCGATCGAACACCCCCGCCCTACTTTCATCTCATGGGGGTCGATCAACACCATTACCACACCTCCCCACCCTCGGGTAGTGCCGGGCATCCTCAGCAGCTGATGCACCAATTGCCAGCTGCTGGCGATGATCCTCGTGCACTGCTCGTCGGAGGGGCCTCCCACAGCAATCACGAGCACCATCAACATCAACATCAGCAGCAGCAGCAGCAGCACCATCAACAACAACAACACCAGCAGCAGCAGCAGCAGCAAGTGCAAGTTTTACAGCAGTTGCAAGCCGCGCAGCATTTACAGCAGCTTCTTCAGCTTCAGCAGCCGTTCAACAGCAACAACAGCAGCAGCAGCAGCATTATTCAGCAGCAGCAGACGCAGATGAGGCAGCCGCAACACAATTCGTGGAGCGAGGCCTCGAATCTGAGCCCCAGGGGCCAGTGCATGAAATTCCAAAAGCACGATAAGCGCGTCGGGGCTGCGGGAGGGCCTCGACAGACGAAGCTGTACAGAGGTGTCAGGCAGAGGCACTGGGGCAAGTGGGTCGCGGAGATTCGACTGCCGCGCAACCGCACTCGTCTGTGGCTCGGCACCTTCGACACCGCAGAGGAGGCGGCCTTCGCATACGATCAAGCAGCTTACAAGCTGCGGGGAGAGTATGCGAGGCTCAATTTCCCAGCCGTGAAGCACCCGGTGCGATTGGATGGCACCGGCTCGGCAGGGGAGGTGTGGCCGGGAATGGCTGGGAGAGGACCTCCGGATCAAATTCGTCCTCTGCCATCGACTCTCGATGCCAAGCTGCAGACCATCGCTCTGCACAACAGCAATCCGTCTCGAGATTTCTCGTTGGGAGTGCACCACCATCGCACCACCAACACCAGCAACGCCGCCTGTACCACCACCACCACCACCACTGCCACCACCAACATGGCCAGTGATCAACAAGCTGCGAGCATGTACGCGAGTCCAGCGTCGACTGTCACCACTGCGACGGCCGTGCACGACTGCGGCGATCACCAACCCACCGGAACGTCGCGGTTTGCGCCCCTGCAAAATAGCATGGAGCTCGCGCACCAGGACGGGGTCGGGTGTTTCGATGACGAGTATATGAGGAGGGCTTCGCTCGTGGATGCGAGCCGAAGGGAAGCTCTGGGAGCTGTCCTCGGAGGAGGAGGAGGAGGAGGAGATAGCAGTAGATTTATGAACGACTGCGCGAGCCTGAGCCCCCCGATGCTGGTTAGCGCCGGGGAGTCCGGATCAGCGTTCTCGCCAGGCAGGTCAGAATGTGACACTTTGAGCAGCGGCAGCGCCACGTTTACTGACAGTGGCACGATTTGGGCGGAGATCGATGACAATCTGCTCAACAACGCTCCGAGTCTCGATGTGACCAACTTGACGTGGGATGTTCTCGCCATGGCGCCCAAGGTCCAACAACAACATCAGCAGCAGCAGCAGCAGCAGCAATCTGCCGTCTCGTCGGCGACAGCGGCAGCAGCCATCAGCACTCAGGCTGCTGTAACTCGACCGCTGTACGTCTGGCGAGACTGCAAATAATCTTGCGCCAGTCGATCTGGCGCCAAGTAGCTGGCTGCGGTGGCGAAGGAAGACGATGACCTTCACTCTTCCTTCGCCGTGCATGGGCTGAGCTAACGATGTTTCGAGGCCGCTGGGCGACGCGGGCACTCACCCACCCGTCCTTCCACCATCCCTGATCGATGTACAGCAGGCGAATAAGCGGATGGTGCGAAGGACGGAAGGAGGATCACGGAGGAGGGAGTGAGCAGGAGCAGACAGCACACACTGTCACTTGATGACTGGAGTCGATGCGAGCTCGAGGCCTTTCCCTTTTGAAAGAGCTCTCAATTTGCCCTCTCGGGTTTCTCACACTGCAGCCGCAATTTTTTTAAGATCGGCGTGCACGCGCGGAAGCCCGAGGGATTAGATTTCGTTTACACATTGGGAAGTTCTTTCAGCACATTGCTGGCAGCTATTATGGTGGGTTCTGATCTGGCTATGCCTCGTCCCACTCCTTTTTGTACAAACCTTAGAGAGAGAGAAAGAGAGAGAGCGAGAGAGCGAGAGAGAGAGGAGAGAGGCACACACAGAATACACACACAATCACTTTTACACACACTACACACTTCACCACACACTCACACACAAACACACAGAGGCGACGACCACCACTTTGTCACCCACACAAGAGGGTTAGTTGGTTTCCATTTCTTCCCGAGGTGGCGGAACACAATCAATCATGACACAGTGACACCTGCCTGCCCTCGTTCGGCATCTCACTGGACGAAAGCGGAGCTAGTGGGTGGGGTTGTCTGTATGAAACAAGTTATAAGCAAGCTTGCTGCTGCTGCTGCACCAGCAGATGTTGCTAGCGCTGTAGGTAGTATTGTAGAGGATGCACGGCATGCCTACAGGCACTTCTAAGGCCCTTTGAGATCGACGAATCTTAGATAGATTGTAGATTCTTAGCACGGGCCTTCTCCATGATGGCTCTCCTCGTTTTTGGGACGAGCATCAGGGCGAATTTTGTTGGATTGTTAGTAGTGTAGAAATCTTGTTCTGCAGCTGGAGTGATCTTTGTATATTTCAATAAGGTCCAGCAGACCGGTAGTTTTTCCTGTCCGCAGCTAGCTAGATAGATTCTAGATTGGGATATCTAGATGTCTGTCCTTCGGAGTAATTTTTTCATTCTCCGATCTGCCTGCCACATCGACGGAGCAAATTTTAGTAGTTCCAGGTTCAAGCATAGACAGACAGACAGTTCGCACCAGAGTGACCACCCCCCATCAAGCTGGACTCCTTTTTTTCTAGTACCAGCTCGAGCTCGTGGTGGATCTGATGGGTGCCCTGCAGTCGTGCATTGTGGCATTAGCTCGATGATCATTCATCCTTTTAATGATGATGACATCGATGATGAATAGAATTATGTTGTTTCTGCTTTAATCACATGCTGTATCATTGTACACCCCGACTTCTTCTGAATCCCCAGCCGATGAAAGCTTCCATCAGCTTCTTCTTCCTTCTTCTCACACAGAGCCATCAGTCCTTCTCGACCATCTTCGAAATACGTGATCGCGTCTGCCACTTCAACCACCCCCTCGCTCTTCACTCAGTCGGTGCGATGGAGCCAAAAGTATCCATGGTTTCGGGTCAACGGAGGTCAATCAGGCCAAGTTATGCAATACTTTCTCGCTCGGGTGGGATCCAGCGCCGGGTCTAAATATAGGCTGATTGCTCGCGCTAGGCCAGAGCTCGGTTGCTTACAGCAGCGCTCATCGAGGACTGAACAAAGGGAGAAGAAATCTTATCCGAGCAGCTGCTGGCCATACGTATTTACGACTTTGTGACCTGAGCGCAAAATGACGATTGGCTCGTGGCTAGGACTCGAAGGGGCTGTACGTACATCGGACCGAGCTTTTTCCACAGCTGACTCACAGCGTCCTCTCACGATTGAGCGCGGCTGTGGGAGGGAGCGCGAGCTCACGACCATGTGAGATGCTCGCTCGGATATGGCTACGGCGTTCCGACGGGCCTTGGTCGCAACATGTGCCCCCGGCAGAAACCACCATGAATCAGATGGGAGGATAAGTTCAAATAATAACCATGGATCGTTTTGTATGGCCGTCAGCATCTGGGAGTATGAGAGGAAGATGATGTCGATGTCGATGTCGATCCGGGAACGATTTTCTCCAGAAAGCGTGCATGCATATGTCTCTATGTCTCGAGACTTGTCTCCAGACGACAGGAAACTGAAAACCGGCCCCTGGCTTAAATAAGGCACCCCTCCTGGCCTCGCTTGGCCTGAATCAGAAAGAGAAAGAGAGGTTCGGAGTTCAGGCGAGCATGCAGTACGAGAGGTCATGCATCCATCTTCCGAGAGATAAATCGGGACGGTTAACAGCATCACAGCAGTCAAAGGTGCCCGGTTCTCAGGTGGCATGACGGGGGTGGTCAGCACTCAATCCTCTCGCGCTCTCTCTCTCTCTCTCACAGTCGTTGCGCATTTGATCACATGTTCACATAGAGCAGGCGGCGGGGCGGTTTTAAGTGCTTGCCAGTACGGTACGAGAAGAAGGTAGAATAAGTGAACACCGTGAGTCAACTGACAGCTCGGGTGAGCAATCGTTTTCGCAGTCGTTCGTTCGTGAAGTTGAGATCGGATTGAAAGTGCTGGGAACAGTTCAGACTCCACAGCAGGATCTGCTTCCAACTACCGACTCTCATTGGAGGTGGTCAGATATGCAGACGTTCGTGGGGTCTAAGTTAGTATAAGCGCCATATAAGTGGCGATATTACTCATTAATGATGATCACTTTGCCTGCAAACCGCCGTCAAACCAAGTAGCTATGGCCATCTGCCGCAACTACAAGCAGCAGCAGGAGCTGTCTGGAAGGTCGGTCGAGTCAAAGCAGCGAGAGCCCAGCGGCAGGCTTTTTCGGTCCTTTTTTTAACAGCTCAATCAGACATGCGCATGCTTTCATGTTGGAAAACGACTAGACAGCAAACATCCAGCAAATTCGTCATAAAGTGCAGGGGCGGGAACTGATGGATAACCCTTGCCTGCTCGGACCTCACTGTCTCTTACATGGCTGGATTGAAAGATACCTCTCACTTACTCAACGCTCACCTCTCACTTACACCGCCCGGGGCCGGCACGGTCGGTCTGGGCTCGTGCAGCAAAGTGGATAGCTGGAATTTAGTCCATAGTCTCATCATGTGAACAACCGATAACGATGTGGACCAGAGTTACGGATGTATCTATGCGACTTGAAATGTATCGTACATGTCTACGACGGGTGTATGAGAGAGGAGGGTACCGGGTCGTAATGAGCGAAATGAGCAGCAACTTGACAGTCGTGCACGACTGTCACATTTAAATTATTCTCGTCGAGTCAGCCCAGCTGCTGCTGCTGCAGCTGCTGATGCTGATGGAGCTGCAGCTGGCTCTGAGTTGATGCATTATAAGTCGGGTCGTGGTACTTGGAATGTGAAATGTCATGGTACTTCCGCTGGTCGAAGTCATCAGGACACACAGCCTCGTATGCATGACTGGCTGCAAGTATGAATGTGGGGCGGTGCAGTAGTGATGCCTCAACGACCTCAGCCTCGGCTTCTAGTGGGTCCAACTTGTTCTTACTTGTTTCATTGAATGGAGACAAGGGAGAATTCAGGTTGATGAAAACGATGGATCGTCCACTTTTTTAGCAATCAGAGTTTCGCGATTTGCCATCGAGCTAGATTGTGTGAGAGCTCATCTGACGGTACTGCGTGGTCTTCATTCGTACGCAGTGTTTTCTTAAGAGTGACATGCTGTTGTACCGGTTGAAGTCCCAGCAAGTGAGGGGGACGGATTAAAGGCACTCAGTCTACTGCGTCACGAGGAATATGTTGAGTTGCAGGCAAAGATTAGAGAGCTTTTCACTGAAGCTCGATGCGATGGGTCCCGATGCCAAAAGCAAACTCGTGTCCGACTCGTACGAACAAGTTAGACGTGACTGTAAACAGTAGAGCAGAGAGCAGGGAGCAGAGAAGGTGCCCATCTCCAGAGTCAGCAGTCTACGATAACAACACCACCACTCCTAAAATTACCTACTTTGGTCAGGAACTTTTCCTATTTTTTCGTGTGACACATCTTTCTATCTCTCTAGCTTTCCATCCATCACCTTTCATGCTGCTGGCGCTTTCGCACTGTGTCCGCTGTATACCAATGTCATCCGACCGGGGCTCAGGTAGCTCGCTAGGTATGACCGCGAAGTCATCGAACAATTACTCTTCGTGCCGACAGATACCTGGTCGCGTTTCTAACAGATCAGTCCTAGCACTGCTAATCAGTTCTGACAACGTTGCTGGTCCTTGCCAGCGAGATTGTGACTATATTTTTAGGCCTGCAGTAGCCATCAATTCTTGCAACAAGCATAGTACTCGTCGCTGTAAGCTGACAAGGACATGCGAGTCAAAAGTCCAACACCGTAATATTAACACCGTGTGCACAGCTAGCTCTCCTGTGGTCTAGATATCTGTTTGGGCTAAGCCACGGGAGCGAGGCTTTTTTCTCCATTTTGTGGTTTGGCTCGAGTATGCGCAGGCGGTTTCGATCGCGATCGGGGATGGATGAACTACGAGTCGAACCGAAGATTGGAGTGTGATAGGCTTGTAATGTCCTCATTGACATCTTCGTATACTGCATAGTGTCCCGCAAGAGCTGACAGACCATGGTCGGGTCAGCCATGACATGACATACGTTGCCTCGACCTGTGCCGCAAGACAAAAGTACCGAGTCCTAAACCTTCCAGCCGGATCAGATCTCATCGCTTAAGGTCTGAGACTCAGTCAACTGATCATGTCATGGGTTGGCTAGGTATGGTGTCCAATGCTTGCATCGCGATCTGGTAGTCATGATCTTGTCCAAGACTTGGGTGATAATCGAATTTATTGTCATTCTTTTGCACTCGCTATGAGTCTGCACTCGCTGTTGCCAGTCGTGTTTATCACATCTTCTGTCCACAGATCTCTCGACATGTCACGATAGCTTTCATTCTGCCGTTCAGACAGCTGCGTTCAGTCCCACATAGTTAGTTAGTTAGAGAGAGAGAGAGAGTAAAAGGAGGAGGAGAGAGATAAAGAAATGATGTACTGACAAAGCAATGTCTTCCGACATAGTTGGCCATGAACATGGTTGGCCGAAGAACAAGGTGTCTGCGACGAATGGAGAAACCGAAGGGGAAAATGGAGTCACTCGCACGTCGTGTGTGTTGTGTGAGTGATTACCGACCGAGTCATAAATATGGACCTGTCCCTACGGTACACAAGCCGCTTCGAGATGTTTCTAGAATGAGTTCGTATAAATCTCAGGTGGAGACGTTTCCCGCATGAAAGCATAGTTTTTGGTCGGTCGTCTTTCATGCTGTAAGTTGCATCTGACAGTGCCTTGTCCTACAGAAGCGCAGCTGACGGGGTTTTTTTTATTGGGTGGGAGCCTTTTGCTTGTGGACCGTTGCTCATTGTGTTGCCCGCAGCCATCGATTTGCATTTCTGAAAGGTTGTAAACAGTATGCAAACGTCGGTTCTACAGCAATAGCTTTTGCGAGCATACTGTAGGCTGTGAAATCCAATTGCATCTGGTATCTGGACTATGCATCGTCGCCATTAGTGAGTCACTTACAGCGGATGCATCTAACAACCGTTGATTGTGCAGAGGTTTACAGCACAATCTCGAGCTCTGCTCTTGTGGACGTCGTCTTACACAGTTTTTTGTTCAATCTGAGGCTGGACGACAAAACGGAACTGTCCGAATAAGATGTGCAGCCGATCTAGCAGCAGGCTATCGAAATTCCAGTTGTGCGGTAAGGGTATTTTTATTGATTTGTTTAGTCAGAGTGTTGTGCTTTGAGTATCATATCAAGTCTCTTCTGTAAGATGGAAAATGCAGGGATCATGGCAAATTCTTGTGATTGTACACATCTGTCTGCAGTTACTAGTATACAGGTCGTGGTTGACTTGAAGCTTTTCCTTCAGGCCAAATCACCGCTTTTCTGTTCATTTGATTGGCTGTATCATTTCTGATGATGAAATTCCCCCTCATAATATCTCTGCGAAATTGAGTATCACCTTAGTGGAAGTGAGGGAATACCTCCTCGCAACCGCCAGTGAAGCAGTCTGTCATTGTGGACACTCAAATCGATGTTTGTCATCGACAGAGGTGCTGGAAAAATAACGTTTTATACGTACTCATCCCAGTAAATCAGATATTTGACACTTGCTTTCTGGATCATAACCGAGTTTAAGAATTGCTTCATCAGCAGCTCCCTTTAAACCATGATTTCCGATGGTCCCACACTTGAAACTCCTGAGGCCGACATCTATCCAAGCTCCAACGTTATCCCAATCCGTTCACGGAAACTGGATCCTGACTGTTGCAGCTAAAATCAAGCTTGTATATTGACTAGATCGCAGCCTTCTGCGAATGTCACCGATTGTCAATGCAGAGAATCCTCCTACTCCGGAAACTGCTTCGTACGTATTGAGAGGAAACGAAGAAACTCCTCTGAGGATTCACGCTCGATGAGTCAATCCTTTGTTCCAGCTGTAAGCTCCACAGGATACGCTGTCAAAGCCATCATGACATGAATTCAGCTACCGGTTAAGCTTCACTAGAAGGACAAAGAGCATGTCCAGTCCTAAAGTGCTCGTAGCGTTTGGAATGATCTGCCTTAGTGATCTGGCCGTATCTGTATATACGATCTGTGCAGATATGTTCCATCCGGGACTGATTGCAGCCAACTCCTTGGTTGTCTACAATCGAGGTCTCCGAACACTGCTGCCGCTGTTGCCCAGAACGAAGCATGAAAGCTTCGTAACCTGGCCTTCGCTAGTTTCTAGGTCTGTGAATCTTGTCACTTGGATAATATGTTCCATATATTTCAGAAATATGAATATAAGGCTTGTTTGACATTCCTGTATGTTTGAATATAGAATGCATTAGTAAAAAGGTGAGGAATGTTTCGGATGTCAATCTCGTATGCAGGTTTCTGTTCAATTTGGGTAGTTTGGTCTTGGACATTCCGAACAAGGTACATATTATATCTATTAAACCCCTGGAACGGTAGAAGATCAGCGGGGATCCAATTTGTTTGCCTGAGTCTCGAAAAGAGGAAATAGTTCTTCTATGAGCTTTATTTCTTCCGGGTGCTTGCGGACATCACAAGGTTAGTATGATCACATCAGAGTTTCCACACAGTCTCATATTCTACTGTTCAGCTCGTCAACGTGCTGCACATTGATTTGAAGCAGTGCCAGTTTCACGCAGGAGAGTGCTGCGAACATTGCTTGTCATGCTAACATTCATTCAGAGACGAGCACTGTAGGCCCTGTCCCGTGAAGCAGCCCGTTCGTGGCTTCAGAGCTTGTCTGGAGCGGGCATCGTTGCACTTTCTGGAGCTCGCAACCCTTGAAGTCAGGTCCACAGCAGCTCACGTGAGAAGGGAGCCCGGAGCAGGAAGAGAGAGAGAGGGAGAGAGCATACATCCATGGCTGACTCTCGTTTCGCGATTCATGATGGATCTTCGGGCTCCCAAAAAGACGATTCACCCGTGACGTGGTTTCTGTCTGTAGCACCACGTGCCTCAGCCGCAAGCACTATGTTCTACTTTCTACTGTCATCCTTAACGCTCCTTACTATTCCTCCTACGCCAAAAAGCATTCATGACAGCTTCGCAGCAGTTGGAAGTGCGGATTCCGGTATTCCAAATTTGCCAACCCACAAAGCATGACATGGACGCGTTGATTGAAGCTTTAGAGTCCAGGTTGTATCACACCTGATCGAATTCTTATTTCCAGCCGCTAGGCTAGTATCACAACGACATGCACCGTAGACAACCATAACACAGCACTGGATCCTCGGTTCTTGCTTAATAATAAAGCCTGTACATGAACAAACCAAATTCTGCATTCACTGTCTTTGACGTATGTGAATATCCATCCAGACAGGTCCCGGGGCTTGGAGGAGGGCAACTTGTGTCAGAAAGTCGGAATGTAGGCAACATTTTATTTCGCAATTTTTTCCCTCTATTTTTTTTCTTGTGGAGCGTGCACGCCTACGCACATTTGGCTGCAGAGCACCGACCCAGTGTCTAGATACATTATCTTCGACGGAGCTATGGGACTGGTATGTCATTGCGCTCACCACCTGCATTCAGAGTAGCCGATTTCGTGTTTTGAGCCTCAAGGATGTTTTAGATGCCTTTAACCTTGCGGTTGATAAATTTATTGCAGATTATGTAGTGTGCATGACAGGAAACGAAACCGGCGGGTGGGTACGTAGACGGATGTCCATTGGGCGTTATATGTAATAACGGATTCGTACAATTGATTGTATAAGAATCCAAATGATTGTTGATGGAATGTTCTGCTCACATAATGTGCAGGGCAGGGTGCATCTGAATGATAAAGACACAACACTAACAGGTACATGTCAGATATTCAGGTTATTTATGTATCCAATGACTTCTGTTTATACACGTGCATATATATTATTATAATTAATTTAAATATAAAATTATTAAAGAGATCAATTTAATATATAATAATATAAATTTTAAATTGATCTCTTTGATAATTTTATGTAAAAATATTATCATTAAGTTATATTATTTTAATAATAATATATATTTTTTATCAAATTTTTTTACAATAAATAACAAAATATCACAAATAAATTTTCACATCATATTATATAAGATATTATCAACTTACTATTCACAAGTTATGATTGACTCTGAATTGAAAATAATTATAACACTAAAACTTTTAATACTAGACAAAGAGTGTGAATAACAAACAATATGATTCACTTGTGTGACAAAAAAATTTGTGGAGAAAAGGGACAACATGTACAATAAATTGGTACAAAATGTGTCAAATATCTGACATGTACGAAATGTTTCTAAAAGTTAGGTATAGAGGAATATGCAAAACTTGGATTAATCACTATACTCATCGATCGATGACCTTGCTCTTCGTAAACATGAGTAAGTCACAAATGGATTGACATGTTATAGGCGTCACCCATTACGTGTCCTACTACTCTCACATCTAAATCTGATGATAACTGTCACCATGATGAAGGCGATTTCAGCCAGCATGGCGTCAAATTTTGACAGAAGTGAAAAAGTCATGGTTGTGAAATATTATAGTCAGCTCCAGAATATGATCATGGAAATCATATTGAAGCTGGCGGATGATGTTTTGATATGAGTGCGCGTCAGGAGAACATCAGAAAGGTAGGTCTCCTCTAACACTCCTCTTCCTGGTACTCACTGGATGTAACAAGTCACTTCACTTAATGAATTCACTTCACGTCCATGAAGTCAAAACCTCACCTACTCTACCACGAGAACAGTCTTCACATCTGTTGTCGTTTGCATGTGATCAGTTACCCCCATGTAATAGCGAGTGAAAATAGTAGACAGGCAATCTTCAGAAGAAAGCTCACGGAAGGAGTGGATCAATCTGATCCTCAAGGAGAAGCTTTTGTGGCATCCCAATCTGGACAGGTGCAAAAATTAAGGTTATGTGATTCGAGCTCTGTATTTGGAAAGGGGTAATTGACTTTGTTCCATTTGACCCCAACTCTGGTCTTTGAACTGGAAATTCGCTGAGGTACATTCGCTCAAACCGCAGCCCCGTCACATGTCTCCAGGTCTGCACATACATTCCGTGTGGGGCATAACAACAAGCATTGACCTAGACGGTTTCTTTTCTGGACTCAGACCTTCTCACCTCATGCACCGCCTGACATATGCTCTGATCTGGAACCACAAAGTTGACATCGGCATCTGATCAAGAGTTTGTTTGTAGCTGCCATCGAATATCCACTCAGTGGAAAGTCCTCATATCGATCGTCAATGCCGTCTGCTGTGTGCACCAGTGTGCCCAATCTCAGGATATACAGTCACATTCAACCAAGGAGCTTATCACGAATCATCACAGAGTATTTCAATGATGCTTTATATTAAGGTTATCGATCTGCAAAGTCCCATCTATTTTCTGTACGGTCACTACACAAAGAGCTGTGAGTGAACACTTTTATAAAGAGCAGCTTATCTTTTGATCCAGAATCTCGCAAGCAATGCTGGGTATACAAATCTAAGCAGGATATCCAGTAAACTACAAGAAGAATGAAGATGCAATAATGGGAGACACGGTCATTTCTAAGAATGATCACGCAACCTCATTGTTATCTGAGCCCAACCCTCAATGTTTAGATGTTGTGTAGATTCGTATGTGACCCTTGATTGACATTATTGGTAAAACGAGGAAACCCGACAGCTTCCCGATATGAAATGGATGCTGCACACAGAGAAGGAAAGGAAACTGTGCTCAACATACCTTCAGTCCAAAAAATACCGCAAACCTTTCCATTTTTGGGTGAGCAGCTTGCTTTCTGTATCCATGTGCTGTCAATGTGGCTATAGCCGTAGCCTCAGGAGTTAAGCTATTCTTAAGAACCAGCTGAACTCACATGCGTACGGTCATGCCCAAGCGCTGTGAACATACACATTTATCCATTTCATGTACGAATGTCTTCGTCTCGTTGCATCCATTAGGTTCAGCACTATTCTGCGTCTTGGGTCCTCTGTGACTGAGACGTACTTAAGTTTTACATAGAGGTATAGTTACACAGAGACCAACTTAAAGTTGAATATGGCTCCGTCTTCAATGATAGGCCTGGATAACTGAGCACCCAAGTAGCTTCTCCATCGTTCTCACTTTGATAGGAGGAAAATTCCACAAATCACATCGACTTGCAACACGCAGAAGTATCGTTATCAAAGAGCTGCTCATCTTAGTTGGCCATGGCTATTCAAGTTTTTATGTTTGAGGATAGGAATAAGAGTACTTGTAGAATCGTTTGAATTCAGTTATCTAGTGGCAACTTTTTCTTTTTCTCTGTTCCTTTTCAGACTCACTGATTTGACTCATGGCTGTCGTGTACTAAATATTTGTGCATCAGAGAAATCTGCCCTCTGGATTTTTTTCTGAATCAGATGTTAAATGTGCTTGCCAGTAGCATAGCCAGGAGTCTGTGAGGGTTGTGGCCCAGTCAGATTCATTGATTGAACTTGTTTCACACCAACCTTAAATCTACACGGTCTGCATAATTCTCACTTGAGTTTTCAGCGACTTAAAAGAGAAAGGGAGATGCTTTCTTGTACCATCATGAACTCGTTTATATAATTCAAGAGGAAACAAACTGAATAAGTGGTGACTAGATTCCAGATGTTAAGACTGATTTTTGAATCTTAACAACATATCATAGATTACAGATAATAGATTATGGGTAAAAACATTATGAACCCTGCATTGCTTCTCTGTTGGTTGTAAGATTATATGCCAGCTCCAATTTCCTAATCGTGGCTCATCACTGGTGCTCCTTATAGTGGTGTAGGCTCGTTCAGACAAGAGACAACGGGAACTCTTGGATCGCTCCCATGGTTTTTGTAATGATCATAACTATCTAATAGAAACTCTTGCAAGTGAACATTGGAGGTGACCGTCACTGTCTCACTTATTGATTGTAATCTGAACACAGTGAGATCGCACACAGATAGGTACTGGACCTCAAACTACTGCACAATGTTTGAAACCTATAAGAGTTCAAACTACGGTACTTTCTCACAAACCGGAGGAAGAACATGACGCCTTTCCATTCTGTCTCCATCCACCTTACATCTGACTTGAGTCATGTTCTCGTAGCATTCGTCATTCTAAACTACGTGCTCGACTGAAATTACTAATTTGCCAATTTGAGATTTTGAAACGCAGGGAAAGGTAGTGGAAAATATTTCTTACCACGAAGACAAGAGTATCGAGTAATTTCATCGAATCTCCAGATGAAGTTTCAGTAATTACCGGTCGTCCTTCGCCTCAAACTGCAAAACAAATCTTGCTGATCAATGATTGTGTCTACTGCATGCCTGGCATGGTTGTTGTAGTCGAACACTAAAACTCGATCCACGAGTCACTCCATGTCTACTGCATGCCTGGCATGGTTGTTATAGTCGAACACTAAAACTCGATCCACGAGTCACTCCACGTTACGAATATGTCGATTCTTTTCAAATCCAGGTTTCCACCCTGGAGATTTTAGAATTTTCTGAGCTGTACAATTTTCAACATCAGATAGTACGCTTTGCATTTGTAAGAGTACATACCTAGTATCATTTTCAAACCCATCTTCAGGAGTCTGCATACAAATTAACGCTATAAACGAAGAGAATGTGTCGAGTTTCTCCAATCTGCTTGCAGGGTAGGCTTTGTCCACGTAAGTTCTGTCTTCTCAAGAAGCTACTTCATTCATTCATTTTGAACCGGAACAGCCATGAGTAAATGTTTGTTGCTGAAGAGTAGTTCTTGAGCATTCAGCAGGATTAATACGAACTTTGTCCCAGACCTGGACCTTTGTGATTGTTGAGATCAGTGCCCTGCACATAAAACCTGTGTCGTAATCTGGATAACTGCCACAACTTTGTCAGATTGACAGCCACATTTAACACCACCTTCTCACTTGGTGGAATCAATTATATTACCAAATCCTAAGCATGTAGATAAACAACCGGTCCACATGCAAATCTTTGTTGAAGATAGTGCCTTGAATTAGGCAAAGGCAACAAATTGGCTTGAAAGTTTGAATAGTCAAAGCGGCGGAATGCCTGTCATATTTTTGGAAGTAAATTGTGAGGATTTTTGGAAACTTGTGGTCTGCTAGGGTTTCCTAGCTATATAAGGATCTTGGAGGATTCATAGTGATTCATGCTCTTCATTGTAATTTTTCTCTTCAGGAATAAAGTCTCCTCTTTGTGCGTGGATGTAGCTAGCACAAATTGTGCTAACAAACCACGTAAACTTTTGTGTTTTGTCTTTTGTTCATTATCGTGAGCTAGAGTCAAGCATGTATAATCATAACAAATTGGTATCAGAGCGTTGGAGACACGCGACTAGGGTTGTGGATCTACCAAGAACGATGTTGAAGATTGAGAAGTTCACTGTAGGGAATAGCTTCAGTTTGTGGAAGCTCAAGATGGAGGCCCTGTTGAAATCACAAGGCATATGAGCACCTCTTACCACAGATAAGGTAGGCATGGATGTTGCATCATCGGAGTACAAGTTGAAGGAGAAGAAGGCACACTCAAACATCATGTTGTGCATATCGGATGACGTGATCATGGAGGTTGCATGAGAGAAGACGGCAGCTGCGTTATGGCTCAAGCTGGAGAGTCTTTACATGACGAAGTCACTCACCAGCAAGCTGATGTTAAAGCAATGGTTATTCACTTTGCGGATGAATGAACGATCCTCAAAGACCACCTTGATCGATTGAATTCATTTCTTCTTGATTTTCGTAACATCTACGAGAACGTGAATTTTGAGGATGATGCACTCCTTCCATTGATCTCGTTATCTTCATCATACGAGAACTTTGTTCAACGCTTTATTGTTAACAAGGAAAGCATATCACTTGAAGAGGTGAAATCCGCTCTTCATGCTAGAAAGATGCGTCCGAAGGGCAAGGGCACAAGCACAAGCACGGAGTACCATGCTTCCGAGTTGATGGCGAACAAAGGAAGCAAGAATAAGAAGAACAATAAAAAGCAGTTTTCTGGTTCTAACTTACATAAGGATGTTTGCGCTTGGTGCAAGGAAAAGGGGCATTGGAAAAGAGATTGCCCGAAACGAGGACAACAAGGACAAAACAGATCGGCCGCCATGGTAGAAAAGGGTAGTTCGTCTGAGGACGATTATGTTCTATCGATGGATGATGTCACACACCAGTCGGATATGTGGGTTCTTGATTCTGGAGCATCTTATCACATCTGCTCTAATAGGAAGTTGTTCTCAAGCTATTGCCAAACATATGGAGGTTCCGTTCACATGGCGAATGGAGCTGTTTGCAAGGTAATAGGAATCGGGTCACTTAGATCCAAGAACCATGATGGGAAGACATGTACCTTAAACGAGTTTAGACACGTACCACGCATCACAATGAATCTGATCTCTCTAAGTCTACTTGACAAGAAGGGTTTTAGCTTCAAAGGTGAAGGTGGAGATCTATGTGTCTACAAGGGTTCGAAGGTACTGCTCAAGGGAATCAAGGATAAGACTTTGTATGTATTGCAAGGTTCGGCAATCACAGGGTTAGTTGGAATTGTCTCAGCCAAGATTCAGGAAGCTGATCAAACAAGGCTATGGCATATGAGGCTCGGCCATATGAGTGAACGTGGAATGCAGGAACTTCACAAGAAAGACTATCTCGTCGGGCACATGCCCAAGAGCCTAGGATTTTGTGAGCACTCCGTGATTGAGAAGCTACAGCGTAGCAAGTTTTCAAAGGCGGTTCATAGAACAAAAGACACTGTAGATTACATCCATAGTGATTGTTGGGGTCCATTTTGAGTTGAGTCGATTGGCGATCATAAATACTTTCTGAGCATTATTGACGACTATTCGAGGATGACTTGGATATTTGTGATGCATTCGGCAAATTCAAGGAGTAGAAGACACTAGTGGAGAATCAGACGGGAAAGATGGTGAAGAGGCTGCACACGGACAACGGCTTGGAGTTTTGTTCATCGGAGTTCGATGAATTCTGCAAGGATCATGGAATAGCTCGCCATCACACTGTTTGAGGGACACCTCAGCAGAATGATGTAGCGGAATGGATGAATCAGGCACTTTTATTAAAGGCATGATGTATGCTTTCGAATGCAGGTCTTGCTAGGCGTTTTTGGGGAGAGGCAGTTTCTATGGCTTGCTATCTTGTAAATCGGAGTCCTCATACTGGCATTGGATGCAAGATACCTATTGAAATATGGTCCCAAAAGACAACAGATTACTCGAATCTCAAGGTTTTTGGTTGTGTTGCCTATTATCATGTGGATGATTGCAAACTAGAACCGAGGGCGAAGAAGGGGGTATTCATGGGCTATGAAACAGGTGTGAAGGGTTACAAGATATGATCGGATGGAAAAATTATATTTAGCAAAATTGTAGTCTTTGATGAGAGTTTGATGCTGAAATCTAATACCGTGGAGATAGAG